TGTCGTGGCTCAAGTGTTGAAAGTTGGTTGTTGCTAACCTCCAGAGTGTAAAGTCCAGTCATGTATGAGAGCTCCGGTAGCGAGTTTATTCGATTACCACTCAGGTATAGATGCATCATAGACGACAGGTCTTTAAAAAGTGCCGAAGGGAGATAAGAAAGCAAATTATTGTTTAGATCTAAGTAGCGCAACTCATTAAGGCCCTTGAAAGTGCCATTTTCTAAACGCTCCAAACGGTTACCAGCAAAGTCTATGGCGACTATATGGAAGTTACTTTTAAACAAATCGGTAGGCAGCGATTGAATTTCGTTGCCAGAGAAGTTTACAAGCAATAAATTAGGTTGGTTTGTGAATGTCAGGCTGCTCAAATGGGAAATTCTGTTTTTAGACAAATGCAGAATTCGTAAAGTGGGAAGTGCTCCAATGTCCACTGTGGTCAGACTATTGTTGATCAAGTTCAGCCTGGCCAGCACGGTAGAGTTCAACTCTTGCCAGACTGCATCCGTGACGCTAAAGCTGTTGAGTGCAAGCTCCTCCAGCCTGACTAAGTTCGACAGTCCATCGCAGCTCAGGGGAGTCCCTGTACCTTCTAGACGCAGCTCTTTCATGTTTGTTGCGATACCCAGGCTGAAAAAAAAGGTATACCTTGTGTATAATCACAATTGAATGAGTCAGGTCTTAATCCCATAAGACTGAGCTGCTGTATAACAATATTTGGTACTGTGTGTTTTCTGTTGGACGTCGCATAAATACCATGACATCCTGCATTGTACCAATAACGTCGAGCGAAGGAGCGCATTGGGTTGATACTAAATATAGGAAAAGCAACCTGAAACTTGCATGTTATGGCTTGGCAAACCAGAACCTTAGTCTTGGCTTGCTTCTTGTCTAGGATTGATGCTTCAACAGATATTCATTTAAAGCAATGCACTTCTGATCCGGCAACTCCTGAAGCGTGGCAAAAGACGGTGTGGCATTGACCATTCTCTAGCTGCTATAAGAGTTCGACTAAAACTAAGGAAACTTTTGACGTCAGGCAACAAATCTATCCCTTCATTAAATCATTCAAAATCTAATGACCCTGAAAAGTGTCTTTCAGTTTCAGCAACAGCTTGAAGATGCTTCTATCGATATCCAGTATTAGTCTACTGCAAGTTTAAAACGGAATACATTAAAACTGCTGCATTAATCTTATGTGATATATGAGAAATAAGCATCGATTAGCAGAAACAAAGTTAGTACTCGTCAGAAACAAGGAAACAACAACAAGAAATACAACTAGCGAACTGGCAGGAGCTAGAAATCATTTGCGTGGAAATCATTTGCCGAAATCATTTCGAGGAAATTGGGGGGGGGGGGGTGTTAATTATGTTAATTTTTCTTTTTTGGCTTCCTGTTGTGTTTTTCCCTGGCTGCACCCTATTTGACTAAGTGTTTGCAATCTGGTAATGGCTGCAGATTCACAGTCATCGTTTGATTCGTGCAGATCTCGTGCTTCTCGTAGACTGTTCAGAATAACGGTCTGATCCATTGCTCGTCCGCGCTCAATAGCCGATCCATCAGGTTGTTCATTTCCTCTCACGACTGCATTCACTGGCAAACCCCCCCCCCCCCCCCGCCCCCCCCCCCCCAAAAAAAAAAACTGATTCTTGTCATCTGTGGTTATCTCGGAGACTCCAGTAACTGTCTTCAAGCCTAGGCCATCTCTATCGTGATCCACCTATTGTCAGTAAATATTATAATGCAGCCTTCATATAGCCGATGAATGTAATGTGTCATTTACATTGTCAGGAAGTGTGATAATGCTGTTAATCTTTTGATATCTATTGTTATACTATAGTCTGGTTGAGGATGTAAGATTCGACATCATAGCATACATGGCACACTCATAGGTGCTCAGTCTCCCGCAGCACACTCATAGGTGCTCAGCCTCCCGTAGTAAATGTCTTAAGATGTTCCTGCAGCACACTCATTACACACACGTCATTCTCGTCCTCTCATACGCCCATAACTGCCTGAGCCGCTCATAACTCCTCGTTCACACATTCTTTCACGCATTATTTCTGCTAACCTCGTGCCTTATATCAGCATTCGTTCACCAATGGTCTTCAGAATGTCTACATTGTCCAGTGCGAATGTTTCCGTAGCCATCGCTTCTTAGTCAGAAAATCTGCTCTTTCATTTCCTCCCACGGCTGCAAGTTCCGGATAGTATATCCACGTTAGTCCCTGTAATGTTAAGGCACTGATGCTTGGGATCCACTCATGCTACATTTGTCCATTCCGAACCTTCCACCGTACCGAATGATAATCAGACACATTAGTTCCCACGGTAACACTGCATGTCGTTGGGTCACCAGTTTTTGTTGACTGTCTGATTAGGCTCTCTACACCTCTGGCGGTCAGTTGCGATGGATTTCATAGTTACATGCCTGAGGCCTGTCAAGTCAGTCAGGTTCTGTAACCAGGTCTTTCTTGGTCTGCCTTTTCTCCTCTTTTCCTCTAATGGGTCCTGCAGTATTTGTTTTTTGTTTTTTAAGAATAGTTTACTTATTGATAATGTGTGTAATAATGTATTTCATATATTGCAGGAAGTTAGGGCATCTATGTTAAGTGAAAGTAATATTGGATTCCACCAGATCTACCAAGTAGATCAATAACACAGTTGAAATAACCGTGGGGTGTTTAGCGTAATTCACTATTTTCCTAGCACAATGA